ATTTTTTTTCCTAGATTCACTCTGCCAATATCTAACTGTTCCGGTGAAAGATCTACTCTTTCAAAAGAAAAATTAAATTAATTTGCTGTTCTTGTAGTTCCTTAGAAAAATGTAAATACTGTACATAGTACATTAATAAACCGATTTTGGTCTAAAACAAATGTTGCAATTCTCGCCGTTTAATAGACACAATATAACAATAATATACCTACGGCGTTAGCGCCAACATAATAATAATAGGTACTCGTGATGTAAAAAAAAAATAAACAGTCGTGATTATGCGTAATAATAATAAAAGGCGAATCGCGCCCACTACAATAGTAAATAATAAAACAGCGATTCGCGATGTTATAATAATATTATATTATGCGGTTCTGCGACTCTTCAGAACAAACAATAAAAAATAATGATCAACAAATATATACTTTGAATGAAATAGAATTATCTATCCGGTCGTTATCTGCTTAATATATTATTATATAATTCACAACACAATAATTAGGTAATACAAAAATAAAGGCAATACTAAATAATTATTATGAAGTGCAGTGGCGCCAAAATATATATTATTTACCTATGTGTCAAAATTTGTTGCGGAGGTGTCATATGTCATAGGTAAAATATTGGACTTCAGCGCCACAGCGATGTGTGTGTGTGTGTGTGTGTGTGTGTGTGTGTGTGTGTGTGTGTGTGATTGTGCGTATCGGTAAGTGGCTTCCCTAATGATAATGTGTAGAGCAGTGGTTTTCAAACTGAGTACCGAGAGCATTCGTTAAGTGTGCCGCGGTCTTCTGAAAAATGTCAACTATTCGTTCAAGAATAAAAATAAAGAAATAAAATTAATAAAAATTTGTTCGCCTTTCAAGCACACATTTCTAATTATATGTATATAATTATAACTCAAATCAAGTTCTAGTCAGACCAGTAGCTATGTATGCAAGCAGTACTTGGGCGACAACAAAGTCAGATGAAAAAAAATTGGAAGTGTTTGAAAGAAAGATATTGAGGAAGGTAGTTGGCCCAAAGAAAAACAATGAAGGAGAATATGAAATACGAAGCAATAAAAACTTAGCAGAACTATATAACGAAACCAATATTGTTAAGATCTTGAAAAGCGCACGAATAGGCTGGGCTGGACATGGCCCTGGACAAGACCCTGGACAAGACCTTTGGACTTGGCAGTCGATTGCAGGATCACTGCTGTCTGGTTTCCGTCGGGGCGCGGATTTGCCAAGAGTTTCCGGTCATCGTCACCCGAACTTATTACCGACTCACCCGAGTATCACCTGCAGGTAGAAAAGATCGAATCGCCACCGGTCCCTGCAACCGAAGTTCCTATGTCTCCGGAGATGGACGCCCACTCAGAAACGCCAAAATTCTTGCGACGTCAGGGTCCTTCCTTGACCGACGCTTTAGATTTGGCAGTCGATCACAGGATCGCTGCTGTCGGGCTACTACAGTTACGGCCGTGGCGAGAACGGATCTAGGACAATCGGTCCCCGGACAATTGGTCCCCGCGAAAAAATGCGGCATACGGACAATTGGTCAAAAATATGTATTTGTAATCTTATTGAATTTTTGATTCCCCCCTCACATACGGCCTTGGTTAATAATAATAAAAAGGTGGGTAAGTGGATGTCGCTCTGCTGTACTGTAGCCTGTAGGTTACAAGTGGGTCAATGTATAATGGATGCTATTAAATTTGAATTCAATGATATAATATCATTGTATAAGAAAAACGATTCTGAGCGAAGACGGTATGTCAGTCTAGGTTTAAGACAAATTATATACATATCTATGGTATTAAAAAAAAAAATTGACCTATAATAAATTCCAAATTAATCATATCACACTATCACAGTGTCCATTAGGTACTTATAACACGTTATACATCAACATCAATAAAAAATCCTGATACTATCATTGATATATAATAGTAAACTTTAGAAGTTTCAAGTAGGTACCCACGAATAATATTATATAATCACAACAAAATAACTAGGTTTTTTAATATGTAATTTCGTCCAAATTTGAACATAAAATGACTATAAAAATAAACTGTGATTGTATATTTATTAGATTTTTTGGTAAGAAAATTAACTACTTACGTGGAATCTTGTTTTAAATTTTCAATCCTTAGCTATAAAAACTGAACATTTTATAATTTATTAATTACGATGATTAATAATTTTCGAGATTTTGAAAAATTCTGTCAAAATTCGATTTTTAAATGCTTATAAAAAAAAACTGTGCTTATGTATTTTTAATATTTTTCAACTGATATTGTAACAATATATCAGGAGCCTTGTATTAAATTTTTACACTTTTTGGCCCAACAGATAAAACTTTATTGATATTCATAGAAAAAAAAAATAAAAAAATTGAAAAATGAAAATATCCGTAAATAGCTCAAAAAGAGTCAAAATATTTTCAAAATTGTATGGTGTATAGGAAATGCTAATATAAACATTCAGTGAAATTTCCATGTATCTATAGTTATTCGTTTATGAATAACAACAAAATAAGGAAATCCCTACATGAGAAATCGAGTGAACATCCAATGTTGTAAAAATTTTTATTTCAAACGCTCATAAAAATTTAATTTGATTGTCCGGTAGAGATTTTTTTATTGATAAAGGTAGACAAACTTATGAGTAATCTTGTATTACATTTTCAAATCTTAGATTTAAAAAGAAAAATTTTTGCGAATTCTTAACTCAAAATAATTTGCTAATTTTCTGGATTTTTCCATATTTTGTCAATTTTTGAACTTTAAATGCTTATAAAAAAAAATTGTGACTAAGGATTTTTAATATTTTTCATCTGCCTTTGAAACAACATAATAGGAGCCTTCTATTAAATTTTCAAGCTTTCGCAACCAACAAATAAAATTTTATTGATATTTTTAGAAAAAAAACTAAAAAAAAATGGAAAATGAAAATGTCCCTAAACAGTTCAAAATAAATCAAAATATTTTGAAAATGTTATCGTGTATAGAAAATGCAATTATAAACAACCAGTGAAAATTTCATGTATCTACGGTCATTTGTTTTAAAGTTACACCAAAAACCAAATTCGATTTTGTCAAAAACCGATTTTGCGTAAATATTCCCGTTTTTCCTTAATTTTTATGTTGTTTTTCCCGGCGCTTGTGAAAACTATTGGGAATTTTAAATGTTGACCTCCCCAATGCACCAACGATATTCACTTTCCAATCGAACAAGATACTGAAGTCGAAAATCGAAGCATTATTTCGACTACTTATCGTGTACACACACAAAAAAAAAAAATTAAAAAATTAAAAAAAAAACACACATCATTGTAAAATCAATACATTCATCGTTTCACTCAGAATCTAAAATAAAATATGAAATAACATAAAATATTACCGGAGACCAATTGTCCGCGTATAAAATAATGACAGGGACCAATTGTCCGCATGCCGTATTTTTTCGCGGGGACCAATCGTCCGGGGACCGATTGTCCGTTTCCCAGCGAGAACATGCAGTGAGTATCCGGTCGTCTTTAGAGCTGAGCGTTCGTTCTCCCGTGTACGGCGCAGTTAAGTCAGTTCCGCCGGTGGCAGCAGATGAAAGTCTACAATTGGTGTGGAAGAGGTCGAAAAGATTCGTCTGGAAGTACATGGTCAACGCTGCACGCCGAATTTGTTTCTGCCACAGTTTCGTTGACCTGGAATGACATTCACGAATTTCTACCTCATCCCCTACCACCGCGATCGTACCTATGTTACCACTAACCACCGTTATCGTACATATATGTTACCGGTTATAACCGGCAGTCACGCCGGATCAATCAGTTTTTGGCGTAGATATCTGGTCGTAATGTCGCCGACGTGCTTTGTTCGCCGTCTTCGGCTCATCACCATGTTTTGTCCGGCCCCGAAGTTGTATGCCGACGTCCCCAGTTCCCCAGTCCCTCTCGCCACAGGTTATACCCTCATACGTTATATTTGTATTACTTAATACTTATTATCATATTATGTACCATGTGTATACCTTTATTTAATGATTATTGTTATTGTCATTGTCATATTATATTTATCATGTTTTTACATTTACCTATTTAAATTTTACTGATTATAATATTATATTATATACCTATACATATACTGTATTACTGGCTACTGTGCCATAATATATTATTTTGTTATCATTAAATTCTAAGCGTACCTACTGTAATTTTCATTTATTTTTATGTAATAATAATATTATAATATACTTTTGCCGAGCCGACATACTGCGAGATTGCTGGACACCCGACACACACACACACACTCAAGAATTTTGAGATTCCCTGAGGAAATTAAATTTTTAAAAATGTATAAATGGTTGCCTGTATTTACATTCTGCAGATTATAATTTTAATAATAGAAATTAGTATATTTTTAGATTCTGAGCGGAGCGAGGAAGCTAGTGGTTTTATAATGGTGTTTATTTAATTTTTATTTTTATCATGTATACAACATTTCTACCAGAAGGAGTGCTTTGATTTCAACATATAGTACTTTATCTTTTAGAAAATTCAAGGATCAATATGGTACTTTAGGGAGGTCATTTTTCGATTTTATTTAATAGTTACTTAATGCCCCGGAAAAAAATCACCGATAAATTACGAAAAACATCTAAAAATGGGATTTTAATTTCAAACGCTGTGTTTATCATCATAGAAACGAATTAAAATTATAAATTAATCGGAACAATTATAACGCGACCGGCGCATCGTCGGCCCGCGTGAAAATTCAGTTCGACGGTGGTCCGATCAAGTACGTCCAGAATCCCGCCTCGTGGACGTTGTGTACGATCGGCGAATCGGCGTTGGACGCGGGACAGACGTACGGCGGCACCGTTTCGGGCGGCACTTTGGTGCCGGTCCGCGGCGTCCGTTTTTCCTGTGTTTCGAATGCCCACTTTTACGTGCACGACAGGAACGGTGCTAAATACCAGCACGCTACCGGTTGCCGGGTAGTGAACGACACATACATGGAGTGCCGGTCACCGGACATGTGGCGCGCGTCGTCTGCCGTCGACGTAGCCTCAGCCGTTGGGTTTCCGGATTTCGGTGTCCGGGCGCTGGATTGTGGCGAAGGTCGTGTGTCCGACTTTCCGGTGCTGCAGCCACAGCAGCAAAGGTTGTCAGCAACCGCCGTTCACAGTCCGTTTTCCGTGTATGCCGATCCCGTTTACGTTGATTTCGAAAACGGCGACGGTGCCGTCGTCATTAGCAGCGGCCATCCGTCCTCCTTGGGCCAGGTCTACTTGGCCGTGTGGTTTCTAAACTCAACGGGTGGTTGTCGCGTTACGTCCTTGTCACGACACGAGATAATTTGCGTGCCGAACTCCACTACCACGGCCACCGTTCTCAACCAGCTTCGACGTATCGTGGTGACCGTGGGTGGGTACGAGTGTGATGTGCAGAAAAAGTCTATCAACGCCTGGGACGACGGTAGAAGCGGTAGTCGGTCGCTGCTATTCACTAGCGTCACTTTCTCCTGTTGCAGTGGAGTTGCCATCGTTTCGGGGGCGGTGTTACTATTCGCTGTAGGTGTCTTATTATTCCGTGTCATTACAAAAAATCGGTACGTAATAAGCGCGGACACCTGATAAGATGATTATGATCAAATTTATCTCATAGCTCTAGCTATTCTCCACATTATATAATTGTATAAGATTCTGAGCTGAGCTATCAACTATATGTGTATTTTTTTTTAAAAATGTATTCAAGTCTGACTCTTCATCACCCTTTGAAGCAGTAAATAATATGATCGAGGGGTAGTATCTGGTACAAAATTGGATCTTGTGGGTACTTTGAGCAAGAGTCAAAAGTAAAGAATTCCCTGCAATACTTTTAAAAATAAACAGAAAAAACAAAAAACATTTAGACAAAACAGGAATTTTCACCTAACCTAACCTTGGGTATCAATTTTGTGTTGAAACTAAATTTTAGAATATAACTAATAATAAAACTCTAGCAAAACCAGTGGGACTCCATTCAACCTACCAATAAACTTATGTCCATCAAAAGTTCAGTGAAACAGTGGAATACACCCCCGGATCTCAGCCGATGACGTCAAGATAATGCGATCGCATGTATAAGAATCGGCCACACTTTCGCTACACACTCTTTCCTAATCACTAATCAGCAATGATCATCCACCTGCATGCAATATATGTCAAATTCGCATCACTATAACACACATACTATAAAGGTACTCGAACACATGCACATCCCTCAACCTTCCGCATAACGTCAAAGAAATCCTCGATGAAGGACAAACTCCAAATATCATCAAATTCATCACTAAATGCAACCTCATCAACAAACTGTAATCTAATCAAACTATATTGTAAGCACACTTATAATTTAACTGTAAATATGGGCGTAACCGTTTTCCGCCAAAATGACCCTTGTAGCCTCACCCATTATTACCACAACCGTTTCCCGCCAAGGTTATATTCCGATTTCCGCCAGAAAAATTAATAAAATATTTATGATATTTTTTGAGAACCCCTGATATCAGTTATATCCTGCGTTATTATGATTATTATTATATAAATAATTTAAGACAAATAGGAAATTAAGAATACCTACAACCAAAAACATATTCATGGGCAATATATTTATATTGAGCAATTTTCCTTCTTATTACTTATTTATTTTTCGGCATAAATGTTTCAAAATTATAAAGCACTCGTTAATTATATATCAAATATATTATTTATAATATTATTGAATTATCAATCACATCTCTTGTGTTTATTGTAAAATTATAAACCACGGTGTTTAAAAATGATATTATTTATTACTGTATTCAAGTTATTAATATAATTTATATAATAAAATTGTTATACTGTTATAAATTATACAGTAATAAAATTATTTTTTTATACAGTAAAATGTCGTTTTTATATATTTTGTATTAAACAGTAAGTACGATTTTATTTATTACAACAGAATAATGATTGATGAACATGATCGTGATGTGGGACCTATGAAGAATATTAACCAACAACTTTTTTGATACGTCGTACCAAACCTCAATAAAATATTATATTGAATGTATCCATCAGGAGTCCATGTTCATCAAAATTTTAAGAACTGCTGTCGAGGTCGTAGACGATTTACCGTGTAATAATATCTGATAAAGGCGGGTTTTCACTATACACGTTTACCTGTGTACATGAAAATTGTTCAGATATGTCCAACAACACGGTATCGTGGTTAATCGTGTGGTAACTTAACATAACCAACCAATTACAGCAAAGGATTTGCATGCACGTGAACGCGTACGTGTATAGTGGAAACCCGCCTTAATTGGAGGCCTATAGATAAATTATTTATAATTGAACATTCTTTTTCTGTAAAATCAAGCCAATAAAAGATCAAATGATTAATGGAAAATTTAGTTTTATAGAATGATATTTTTTTGGAATACAATTGTATGGAATAAACTACAACCTGGAAGAACAATTGTCGAACCAATCATGGAACGGAACATACATTTATTGGAATATTAAATTTCGGAACAAATATCTAATGTACTATACATTTTTAAACATTTTAATTTTGGAACAAATATGTAATAAAACATTTATTTATTAGAAATCTAATTTTTATGAAAAATAAGCAATGGATCATACATTAAATGGAAAATTAATTTATGGAACTGATATTATTGCATTAAGTGATGTTCATCCACATTAATATAATGAAATCCAGTTTAGTATACATTACATTGTATTGAAAAGGTATTATCTCTAAATATATATAAAAATGAAAAGCTGTTCGTTATTCTGGCTAATACTAAAAAACATCTTGACAAATTTGGCTGATTTTTTTTTATTGTGTTCGTAATAGTCAGGATAAGGTTTTTATAATAGAAAATTCTCAGAAAAATCCACCAAAAAAGTAGAAAATTTGGATGGTCAAAATAGAACAGGGCCATCAGCCAGGCATATTTTTTGTTTATTATAAGGTTTTCAGTAGTTGAAAAAAATTAAATAGTTCCTATGATTGAATATAATTTATATTAGACCTGTATTATATATTTGGTAAAGACCGTATAAGTGTATAACTAGTAAAAATAGTATTCCAAACGCTATTTTTCGACTTTGGTCTTGGGAACCTCCACATGCACATCATAAATACCGTGCATAATGGATAGTATTAAATTTGAATTCAATGATATCATATCATTGAATACGGAAAACGATTCTGAGCGCGGACGGTTTGTCAGTCAGGATATTTTATATGGTTATTATATTTTATTATAGCCTATAAGTTGAATTAATATTATAAATTACAAAACTTAATATCATCAATTAATATAATTCGTAATATCATAGTCTGACTGACCGTTTTCACTCAGAATTCTTATTCAATGATATTATATCATTGGATTCAAATTTAACACCATCCATTACAGTGACCCACTTGTAACCTACTGTACAGCAGAGCGACTTTTTTAGTATGAAATTATTTTTTTGACTATTGTTTAATATTTTCAAATATTTTCATAAATATAATAAATTATAGATGTAATTATATGATTTTTGATCAACTTAACGGTGACCCGTCAAAATATCTCCATTAAAAATATGTCCGTCAAAATATCTCTACCAAAATATCTCCAGTATAAAATATCTCCGTCAAAATGATCTCCAATACAAAATATCTCCCGATTTATATTTATATTTATCAATTTTTTGTTCCATCGTATAAAACCGTTTTTCCGCCATCACTCGAGATTCTCCCAGCTGCCTTACATTTTCTTTAAACGGTAATTCTAATGTGAATCGACCATTCTCCTCTCTCCGATAGGTATTCAGAAAATGTTCTTCACATCTTTTTCTTCCGTTGAAACCCCTTGAACTGGCGACGACCGTACAACCTCTTCTAGCTCCCAGAATTTTTGAACTTGCCTTTGGATTGGATCGAGTGTGCTTGTTGTCGCCGACAAACAGTGCATTGGGTTTGTAGAAGTTATATGCCCTGACAAAATCCAACCAAAAACTGTTTTTTGCCAAATGGCATCAGTGCCTGCGGGTCTAATTTGTCCAATACATAGAAGTCGAAAGAACACTTGAGTTCCCACAATCATATAGATTTTCCGCGTTGAACATGCATCCGGATCTGCGTATTCTTTGCTGTTAATCACCTTCATTATGTTTTCTTCGGGATATACTGTAGGTAGTGTACTTGCCACGTTCTGCATTATAAAAAACTGAAGACTGGCTTCGAACGCGTTTAATCTGGGTTTTATGCTAGCCGTAATTTCACCAATTGGTGTACATGAGTTCCCGGAGACGCCACGAATTGTAATGTTTGCCGCTTTATAGGATAACCAAGTTTCGTAGCTAATTTTAACAAATTTAAAAGGCATATTTAGGTAATAGTACGTTAACGCACATGCACGTAACACAAACCAATGTCACGCAGTGTCAGTGTGTGACACAGTTCCGGCTCTCTCGTCTAAATTTTTATCTATCAATTAGGTATAATCAAATAAAATTAGGTACCTATCTGCAACTTAATCTGTATTGGTAAGCGCCAAGCGGACCATGATAGGGAAGTACAAAGTACACTCACTTTCAGCGTCAATAACATTTTCTCTATCAGATAGCTATGGCATAAATCGGGAGATATTTTGTATTGGAGATCATTTTGACGGAGATATTTTATACTGGAGATATTTTGGTAGAGATATTTTGACGGAGATATTTTTAATGGAGATATTTTGTCGTATAACCAACTTAACTAGGTACTTAAATCAAATTCAAACGCAATTATTAAATTGTTAAATACTTAAATATCCAAAATGGTAGTCTTAACAAAAAAAAAGAAAATAAAAAAAGGCAAAAAAATACATGTTTAGAAATAACAAAAGAATTAGTAAATACATTTTTTTTACAATATGTAACATTTTTGTGTCAGAATTTTTAGCTATTTTTATTAATAATTAATTATATTTCATTGTATGCTTATTTTATAAGTAGTTCAGTGATTCAAACATTTAGATTTATAATCTATTATATTTATGAAATGAAAAATTGTTTATAATATATTTTATATTAAAAAAAAAAAATAATTTCATAACAAATAATAAATAATATTGTATTATTAAATTCAATATTATTGGTCAATAATAAACTTTAAAAAAAAAGGTGCTCTGCTGTACAGTAGGTTACAAGTGGGTCACTGTATAATGGATGGTATTAAATTTGAATTGAATGATATAATATCATTGTATAAGAAAAACGATTCTGAGCGAAGACGGTGTATCAGTTTACGTATAAGACATATTACATAGGTTTATCTATAATACCATCTATGGTATTAAAAAAAATTGACCTATTTTAGGTACCTATAATAAATTCCGAATTAATCATATCACAATATCTATTAGGTACTTATAACGCGTTATACATCAACAACAAACCCTGATACCATCATACATATATAGTAGTATACTTTAGAAGTTTCAAGTACCCACGAATAATATTATACAATCACAACAAAATAACTAAAATAGTTATTCTAGGTTTTTTATTAAGTAATTTCGTCCAAATTTTAACTTAAAATGGCTATAAAAATAAACTGTTCTAATGTATTTTTTAGATTTTTTAGTAACAGAATGAACTACTTACGTGGAATCTTGTTTTAAATTTTTAATGCTTAGTTATAAAAGTTGAACATTTTATAAATTTTTAACTACAAAATAATTATTCAATTTTCAATTTGATAAATTTTGTCAAAATTCGATCTTTAAATGCTTATAAAAAAAAAATTGTGCAGATGTATTTTTAATATTTTTCAACTGATATTTTAACAATATATCAGGAGCTTCTTATTACATTTAGGTACCTATACACTTTTTGGCTTATAAGATAAAACTGGATTGATATTTATAGAAAAAAAAACTAAAAAAATTGAAAACTGTAATTGTCCTTAAACGGCTCAAAAAGAGTCAAAATATTTTCAAAATTGTATGGTGTATAGAAAATGCTAATATAAATATTCAGTGAAATTATCATGTATCTATCATTATTCGTTTTTGAATTACAACAAAATGAAGAAATCACTACATGAGAAATCGAGTGAATATCCTATGTTGTAAAAATTTACAACGCTCATAAAAATTTAATTTGACTTTCTTATTGTCATTTTTTTTTGAGAAAGGTAGATAATCTTATAAGGAATCTTGTATTACATTTTAAAATCTTAGATTTAAAAAGAAAAATGTTTACGAATTCTTGACTCAAAATAATTTGCTAATTTTCGTGATTTTTCCATATTTTGTCAATTTTTGAACTTTAAATGCTTATAAAAAAAGTAAAATAAATACTTATTAAAATATTAAAAAAGGCTTCGCCTGTTTAACAAATTAAGTAAAAAAATAAATTAAAATATAAACCTTGCAGAATGAAAAATATTAAAAATACATAGGCACAATTTTTTTTATAAGCATTTAAAGATCGAATTTTAACAAAATGTATCAAATTTAAAATTAAGTAATTATTTTGTGGTTAAAAATGTATAGAATGTTCAACTTTTATATCTAAAGATTGAACATTTAAATCAAGATTCAATGTAAGTAGTTAATTTTGTTACCAAAAAATCTAAAAAATACATAAGTACAGTTTATTTTTATATTCATTTCAAATTTATTTCAATTTTGTTCAAATTTTAAATGATATGACATAAAAAAACCCTAGAATAACTATTTTAGTTATTTTGTTGTCATTATATAATATTATTCGTGGATACTTGAAACTTCTAAAGTACAATATTATATATCTATGATAGTATCAGGGTTTGTTGTTGATGTATAACACGTTATAAGTACCTAATTTATATTGTGATATGATTAATTTGGAATTTGTTATAGGTAGGTACCTATTATAGGTCAATTTTTTTAATACCAAAGATATATATAATATGGCTTATACCTAGGTCCTTGACTGACATATATCGTCTCCGCTCTGAATCATTTTTCTTATACAATGATATTATATCATTGAGTTCAAATTTAATACCATCCATTATACAGTGACCCACTTGTAACCTACTGTACAGCAGATCAACTTTTTTATTATACTTTTTTACACTAGTTTTGATTTATGTAATTGATTTATGAACAGGAGACGTTGAAGCAGTCGAGGACGAAGGATTTTTATTATAATATTGGGTGGCCGATGAAAACAAATGACGATTTTACTCATTTTAATTTAATTATTTGCAGTTTACATTCAACGGAGTTGACGAGGTAAATCAACGGTTCGGTGCTATTCACTGTTTGGTGTAGACGTGTATCCTTGTAGTTGAAATGAATTATTAGTAATTACAATATTATTGTGGTTGGCATTAGGTACCCTATTAATAATTTATAAATATAAATACAATCGCCGATTTCCTACTTTATATCTACATTAAAATCAATGAATTACATTAATCATTAATGACAAAATAGTGTGTACCTATCTATCAACAATTTATATCACCACTGTGAAAATGTGTGGGGGCCTTAATGTATAATATTATACTTATTATTCAACGAACGGCAATTTCATGAAGTTGTGTAAGTCACCTCATTAAAAGACAAAAAACTTTGTGTGGTTACAAATTACAATACAAAACTTACTATTGCCATTTAAATTTATTTTCAGGAAGGCCACTTTTATGTTTCATTTGGTCAGTATAAAGTAGAAAAATGAATGTGTACTTAAAAATTAAAAAAAATTAAAATTTTTCATTTCTTAACTCAGACTATAAGCTTCAATCTAATTCAATATCATATTTTGAACAATTTAATACATTATTTTGTATTAAAAAATACTTATCAAAAGTAGGTACCCCACTTTATTTAATACAATTATTTTCCAAACTGTGTAACAACAACATTTTGAAAACAATATAGCTATTTATAGACATAAGAAAATTTCGTGTTTTATTAGTTTTTTTAAAATTATTGTCGATACCAAATGTCAGTCAAAAACTTGAAAATGTAATACAACATTCCTCATAAGACGTTTGTGATAGTGGAAATTAAAAAAAAGTTGTTTTTATGACAATCTGAAGTTAAAACGTTGTCGAAATTCATCAAAATCACGAAAATTGGCAAATCATTTCAAGTAGGAAATTCATAAAAAATGTTCCATTTATATCTAAGCTTTAAAAATTTAACACAAGCTCCGATTTAAGTTTTCCAGCGTTTAAAAAAAAGTTTGTTGGAAAGTCAAATTAATTTTTACAAGGTTTTAAAGCTAATAGACTTTGGATTCAGCCATAACTTAACAAATTCTCATACAAAGATATTCTTATTTTGTTAGTTTGTCTAGTTTTATTCAAAAACTAATTACCGTAGATATTTAAAATTAAGCAACAATAAAAATTAGATTTTTTACAAATTGCATCTATTAAAAACTTTTTACTTACATTTTATCAATTCATTTTTATTTCATGTCATATACAGTTTTGTAATTGGTTAAAACTAATTAAAAGATAATGTTTTTTCTTAATACAGCTCGATATATATTTATACCAGGTTCGCTGTTGTGGTGTTGTGAGGAGGGTGCAGAACGTACCTTGGCACCACTATTTTTTTCTAATTGGACTGGTTTAAAATGTACAATAATTGTGCCGATGGGCGATGGCTTAAAAATTAAAATATATTATTTATATCAAATATGAATGTAGGTATAATATATTATTATGTATGAAGTTAAACTATATAATGCATATTATTTGTATATATATATATGTATTATATAGATATGCAAGAAAAAAGCTGTTTCCAACTTTCCTGACAATGCTATTTTTCGTTAATAGGTATAATACAAGTATACAATTTACCTATAGGTATTAGGTACGTATCGGCGTCTTACACACAAAAGATATAGGTACCTATGTATGTATGTATTTACTATTATGAATAAAAATTGGTCTTATTGGTTTTGCACTCCCTTTTTAAAACTCAAATGGCACCACTGATTTATACATTATACATTTTGAATTTTAAATTCATTTTTTAGGATATATTACGAAGGTATAGTGCATTTTAAAGTGAAATTGTTGAGATTTTTGAATATTTTTTTAAGGTTTCTTACTGCATTAAATTTACAGCTATAATTACAAAAATGTATGGAAATCAAATTAAGTTTTTATATTTTATAACAAAGTATCATGGCCACATGAGCAACAAAAAAAAAAAATTGTAGTGTGGAGAATACATAAAATAGAATTAAATATATTTGATTCTTAAAAATATTTAGTTAAACAGTACATTTTGTTAATTGATAATGATAATATGGACGTTTCTCTGTAATTTTACAGTATACTAGAAATATGAACCTAATTAAAGTGGACACTTTTTCTCATCATACT